CATATATACCCAATTTGTTTTCTCAGGCAAGCTCAAATATTCTTGTGTCTTTGCAGATGTGGATTCCTATTCTCGGAAAATCTTGTTTCAGTCATTCAAAGGCAGTCAAAGTTAGAGGTATTGCCAATCTTTGAGTCCTTTCAACACAGTGAGTAGTTTCAATTTTCTCTGAAGGACAGTCTACAGATCAAAACTTTAACATGTTTTAACATCATCTTCTCTATCTATAAGCAGTTTCCCAGTGAAGTCTTTTACATGGAAATTCAAATGTCTGAGATACTCATTATCTTTAGGGTAAAGAAATGCTTGGCAGACTTTTATCTTTGACCAGTTTATATGGCCCTAATGTCCTTGTGCCTGTGGTGGCTAAAGTATGGAAGCCTTGTAGCCCCTATTTCTTTCAGGGCATATTTACATTTGTAGGATATCCCAGGGTATTTCTTTACTTGGGTAGTTTACAAAATGTTTTATTTTGGATGCTAATGTGGGTAAATCTTCAGTTATAATGCCAAAATTTTGATCCTCTTCATCAAAATTGCCTGTTCTCTTTTTAAAATTATTTCTAAGCTTTTGGAAATATTTGGTATCTCTTAAATATTTTGGAAAATAAAGTGATGACAAGCATGATGACAAATATTATATGTAATATATAAGCATTGAACTTAAACATGTATTTGTACACAATATTCTCAAATCAAAATATTGATTTTGTGTACAAATATCTGAGGGCACATTCTATGGAAATACTGTAAAACATTAAAATTTAGTGATCATCTCCTTATAGAATACCAAAGGATCTTTTTTTTTTTTTTTAAGATTTTATTTCTTTATTTGAGAGAGACACACAGCGAGAGAGGGAACACAAGCAAGGGGAGTGGGAGAGGGAGAGGCAGACTCTCCCCCGCCGAGCAGGGAGCCCGATGCGGGGCTCGATCCCAGGATCCTGGGATCATGACCTGAGCCGAAGGCAGACGCCCAACAACTGAGCCACCCAGGCGCCCCCCAAAGGATCTTTATATATGTTCCTCTTATGTTTTGACACAAATTTTTTTTTTTTAATACCTAAGAAGTTAGCACTTTGGTCTGTGGGGAAAATAGTGAACTACTTATTTGAAAATGCCAATTACAAAGCTATCTCAGGAGGCCAGCACTAAGGTGGTGGTTGTGAACACCGTGCAGGGAATGTCTGAGTGCTGGGTTCAAATCCTCACTCTGACATCTTATAGCTGTGAGCTGGGGCCGAGGGTGAGCCCGCTGAATCGTGCCTCAGTTTCCCTCCCTTGTAACCTGGAGATGCTAACAGCACTCTCTCCAGGGGTTGATGATAGGCTTAGGTGACTTAGCGGACAGCGTTTCTCTAGGATGGCTGTGGAGAAGGGGAACTTCTCAGACTTCTCCTCAGACGTGGAGAATATACATTCTCACTTTTACTAAATACTGCCCGACTGTTCTCCAAATTAGCGCTCCCTGGTTACACTCCACCGGAAGTGAACAAAAGGGCTCATTTCCCCCATCACCTCCGCATGTTACTTTCTCTTTCTTAATTTGTATTGAAGGATAAATCATAGACCCTAAAGAGTGTAAATCTTAACCGGACAGCTCAGCGGACTTTCGCATCCATATATACTCCCTGTAGCCAACATGCAGATTGAGACACGTATATGTCATTTCCAGCCCCTGGAATGCCCTGAGCCCCGTGTGCAACTCTCTTCTGATTTTTCTCACCATAGCTGAGCCTGTGTTTTGAAATTTCACGGACATGGAATCAGGGTATGGGTTCTCTTGGGTCTGGTTTCTTTTGCTCAATATGGCGCCTGTGAGTTTCACCCATGATGTTGCTCTGGATCTTAAAAAAATGAAACAGCCAGTTATTTTACCAGCAAAACGAGCTAATTCAGGAATAACAGAGGGATTGCAATTTGGGATGGCAAGACATGGCAAATCATAGCCAAGTCCAGAGAACAAAGGGGAGCAGGAAGCTGGGAGGGGCTGCTTTGAAGGAAAGTCCATTGGAGGAGAGGATGACTTCTCATTAAGTGGTGCTGGTTCCTCATTGGCTGAATGGTGGTGGTTCCTCATTGGCTGAGTGGTGGTGGTTCCTCATTGGTTGAGTGGTGGTGGTTCCTCATTGGCTGGCTGGGCTGTTGCTGGGCCCGAGAAAACCTTGCTCCTGCTAGGGTAGTAAAGTAGGCTTGTTCCTGCCAGAAGTTCCTGTGTGAGAGCTCCCCCTTTCTGGGTTTCCTGACTCCATTCTAAATGAGGTTTCTCTTTATTAATTTTTTAAGGTGTTTTTTTTTTTTTTTAAGATTTTATTTATTTATTCATAAGAGAGAGAGGCAGAGGGAGAAGCAGGCTCCCGGCTGAGCAGGGAGCCTGATGCGGGACTCGATCCCAGGACCCTGGGATCATGACCTGAGCCGAAGGCAGATGCTCAACCATCTGAGCCACCCAGGCGCTCTTTAAGGTTTTTCTTTTTAAACAAGTATTTCTTGATTTTTAAAAATATATTTTAGTTATTTAAAGTAGACTGCACACCCAGTGTGGGGCTTGAACTCATGACCCCGAGAGCAAGAGACCCCAGCTCCACTGACAGCCAGCTAGGCACCTCTTTATTAGTTTTCATATTGTGAATATTAGTAATTTATTCATGTTTTTTGCTGCATAATATTCCACCATGTGAGTCTCTCCCAGTTTTTTCATCTGCTCTCTTTTGGATACAAACTTGGGTTTGGAGGCTATTAAGAATAAAGTGGCCATGACCATTTGAGGTCCTCTGTGTGGACATCTGGTCACATTGAGCTTGGGTATAAACTCAGGAACACTGAGAGCTAGAACAGGGGAGGTGCCCAGGTTGTAAAGGTTTGTAAAGGTTTGTAAACCTTTGTCCAAACCCAGAGGCCCTGGGAGAAGGTGACAGCATCCCGCTTTGCTGATGAGAAAGCATAGAGGGTCATTTCAGTTCTCTAGTGGGGCTGGAGGGAGACCCCAAATCTCCCTTCTCACGCCTGTGTCTTGGCTGGGGACAGACATTGTACTGGTCTATCCCATTGCTCCAGCACCAAGCATTTGCTTCCCTGACCCCCAAAACCACACTGTTACCCTCTGCTGGAGATGTGCCCACACCCTTAGCCCTAGTAACATGTAAGTGTGACTTCATGATGTTTAGTTACTGCAGCGAAACACATTGCAGCTTTTTATTTTTTCATTTTATTTTATTTTTAAAGATTTTATTTATTTATTTGAGACGGAGAGAATGAGAGACAGAGAGCATGAGAAGGAGGAGGGTCAGAGGGAGAAGCAGACTCCCTGCCGAGCAGGGAGCCCGATGCGGGACAGCAGCTTTTTATTTTATTTTATTTTAAAGATTTTATTTATTTATTTGAGAGAGAATGAGAGAGAGAGAGCACATGAGAGGGGGGAGGGTCAGAGGGAGAAGCAGACCCCCTGCTGAGCAAGGAGCCCGATATGGGACTCGATCCCGGGACTCCAGGATCATGACCTGAGCCGAAGGCAGTCGCTTAACCAACTGAGCCACCCAGGCGCCCCACATTGCAGCTTTTAAGCACTGGGAGAAATATTCTTGTCTAAGCAGTAAGACGTGACAGGAAGGTCTCAAGAAGGGGCTGGCAAGCTTTCCGTGTAAAGGGTCGGGTAGTAAATATTTTAGGCTTTGGGGGCACAGACGGTCTCTTTTGCATATTTTTGTTTGCTTTAACACCCTTTAAAAAGGTAAACTTTTGTGGGGCACCTGGCTGGCTCAGTGGGTAGAGCATGGGACTCTTGATCTTGTGGTCACGAGTTCAAGCCCTCTGTTGGGGGTAGAGCTTACTGAGATAAAGAAAGAAAAATGTAAACTGTTCTGAGCTCATGGGCCATGCCAACACACAAGCGAATGAACAGCCCTTTGGGTGGCATGTGAGGATTTGCACTTTTGGTCTAAATCATTTTGCTCAGTGACTGCATGTAGAAAGTAGTCATTACTAAGTTTGAGAGGCAGGTTTTCTGGTGTATCTGATTTTGATTTTGTAATTGCATCTTCTTTTTCTCATATTGCCCCGAAATGTTGAATCTTTTTTTTAAATTGAGATATACTTGGCAGAGAGCACAGTATTCATTTTAGGTGTAGAACATAACGATTTGATAGGTGTATATGTTGCAAAATGATCACCCCTGATAAGTCTAGTTAATGTCTGTCATAGCTACAATTGTTTTTCTTGCGGTGAGAAATGTTCAGATCTACTCTCTTAGCAACTTTTAAGTTTACAGTACAGTGTTGATTACAGTCACCACACTGTTGTTACATCCCCGGGACTGATTTCTAACTGGGGGTCTGTACCTTTAGATCCCCCCTCACCCATTTCTCCCACCTTCCACCCACAATGTTTAATCTTCAGATCCAGCAAAAGGGGATACAGCCAATTCTTTTAACCATCCACTTTATGTATGTCCAAACATGCATGAGGCATTAAGAGCAGTGAGCATGGGGGTCTCGAGAGGGAAAGGGACTGTGCCAAGCCCTTTCTATCCACCAGAGAAGAGGCTTTTCATACCCACTCTATTGAGTTTCAGAGAGGTGACCTGGCCAACTCCCATGGAAAGGGGTAGAGCTGAAATTTTCCCTTGGGGCTTGTTTCAGAGCCTACATCCTTATACGCTGCTCTCTAATCTCCCCAAGCCAGGCTGGGCTCTTTCCATATGTGTTTTCTGGACAAGTTACTGGAGTGAGCTAAGCAGGTAAGAGGAGCATTTAAGGGTTCACTTCAGAGGGTCCAGCTCCTAATGGGGAGACCAAGGAGAGTGCAAATCTGCTCAGAGACCTCCCAACTTCCAGAAAAAAGCCAAGGTCAAGATCAAGGTGTGCAGGAGACCCATCTTGCCTTCTCCTGTACCTGCCATCCCTTCCTTGGCCCTCCCCATTGGCAATCTGGCCACTCACACACCCCCCCACACACACAATTTGACAAACCAAGAGCTCAGACAAAAGAGAAGACTCTCCCACCTCCCACCCCACCCTTTATTTTAGAGGGGATCTCCCAGGGCCATCGACATATTTTTTTTTACATAAAGAAAAGCAGTCTTTCGTCTGTCAGAACGGGAACAGACACAAAGGAATAGAATGGATGCTACTTGTGACAAGGGATGGTCCCCTAACGACATCATGATGACTTTATGAGAGAATGGGGGCGAATGTGTTTAAACCCACGAAGTTAGTGCTGACTTGTCATGAATCAAGAGCTAATCAGTACACCCCATTTGCGGAGGGAGCCATGGAGGATTGAAGAGGGCCAGCCCGCCCTCTAAGTTCCTCCAGCAAGTCTGGGTGCAGGCAGGAAGACAAGAGCCCAGACCAGCCTGTCAGACCCTTACTGGCCAGGAGACTTTGAGGAAACGATCTGATGTTCCCTGCCTCAGTTTTCCCATCCACAGTATCGGAAGCTCAGTGCACCCAGCCCAGAGGGTTGAGATGAGGCTGAAGCTAACATGGGCCGGGTGCTCAAAGCAGCGCCCGGCTCCCGGTAACACCCAATGCTAGCTTAGTGTTGTTAGGTGCAAAAAGAGACTTGCTCCCTGACAGATTAGTGGGGCCGTATGGGGAAACTCGGGGATTCATTTAAGCAAAAACGCAGAAAAAGAAGTGGTTGGGGTGAAGCCAGCTGACTTGGTGGTTCTCACCAGGGGGCCATGTCTGAGGACACCCGTGGTGGTCACGACTTGGGGGACGGGGAGTGCCTTTGACATCAAGTGTGGGGGGGCTAGGGATGCTGCCCGACACCCAGATGCCCGGGGCGGCTCCCAGAGAGCGACTCGGCCCTGATGTCAGAAGTACTGAGGGGGAGACCCTAAGAGAACCTAAGTACCAGGTTTTTCAAATGTGCAGTCCTACACGATCTTTGCTCCAGATCTACGTGGAAGCTGGTCTGGGATGATGACGCTGAGGGCTAGAGAGGCCGAGGCCCGCCCAGGGTCACTCATGAGGGGACCAGGGAGCCGGCTGGTGCACCCACGCCCCAACCCCAAGCTGGAGCACGGGACGCCAGCCCCTGGGAACGTGCAACAGGCAGAAGGAGCAGGACTGTGCCGTCATGGACGCAGCGAGGGAGGCAAGCCCCCGCCTGGCACTGTGCTCCTGTCCCTTCGGCCGTAAAGCGGGGACACCTAACCCACAGAGCAGAGGCGATTAAGAGGGTTGGCGTGTGACGCGAGTGGGACAGCCCTGGGCCAGAGTGGGCACGACAAGAGGATTCGGTTTCAGTGTTTTCTAAGGAGATGTGAGCACAGCAGTGGGAATACGGCCAGTCACAGAAGGGGACAGAAATTCGGGAATCTCCCAGCTGGGGTCTGTCCAGGGACAACCCGGAGTTCCCTGGGCCCGGGATGAGTACCCCAGGGCTGCTCTAACAAAGGAACGCAGACTCAGAGGCTGAAAACACCACAAACCTATCACCTCCCAGTTCTGGAGGTCAGAAGTCTGCAATGAGTCTTATGGGGCTAAGATCAAGGTGTCGGCAGGGCTGGATCCTTCTGGATGTTCAGGGTTGGGGGATCCTGTTTCCCTGCTTTCTCCGGCTTCTCCAGGCTCGGGGTCCCTTCATCCATCTTCAAGGTGAAGAGAACATCCACCCACCTCAAATTCTAACCTCTGCCTCTGTCCTCACACCCTCTCCGACCGACCCTCCAGCCTCCCGCTCATAAGGAACCTCGTGATGACGTTAGGGCCCACACGGATCCATCAGGACCACCCCGCCCCCCATCTCCAGATCTCTCACTGAATCCCGACTGCACAGTTCCCTATGCCACGTGAGGGACTATATTCATAGATCCTGGGGATCGGGACGGGGACATCTTTGGGGGGAGCTTGCCACACCACTCCCCGGTCGGGGAAAAGCAGCAGGCCTTCTGCTCCTGCCAGATCCCTCGGACATGGCACAGGGGGCAAGACTCGTTGGGGGGAGATGAAGGACCCTCACGCCCTGCTCTTCTCCTGTCCAAGAACTTCAAGCCCCACTCCAGGTCTGGCCCTGTCCTGTTCACATCCTTGTGAGCAGAGCAAGGAAGGGGCCGAGGCGGCCATACAGGGACCCTGCGTTGCTCAGCTCCTGGGGGAGGGAGCACGCATGTGCACGCACGCACACAGCCCACACTTAGCTGCAGGTAAAATTTATTAAGGCAACACTGAAGCCTCAGGCACCTCAGCCCCCCTCTGCTCCAGAACGGGCCTCAGCAACTCTGCAGCCACCCCGCCCCCAGGAGGCCCACTTCGGAGGCCAGAAATCCCAAGTCTGTTAGCTAAAGGCTAATACCCAGGGGCCCTGATGCAGAAAAGGAGGGAGGGATATAAGAAATCTGTCCCTGGTTTTTAAGAAAAAAGAAATTGGAGAACATTTTTTTTTCTGGAAACCTCCCCCTAATGACTGAGGAGGTGAGGCTCAGGACACGCTTCCTCTGAGTGCGCAGTGGCGGAGGGACTGGTCAATTTTCAGCTTCCTGAGGTGGCAGCTAAGATAAGCTAGGGGCATGGGGAGGGACGCATGTTCCGAGGGGGCGAGGGGGTCCAGTGCTGGGGCCAGCCCCTCCGGGAGAGACAGTCCCTCGCGCCTCCTCCTGCCCGTCCTATTTCTTCTCTTCCGGGGCTTTCTCAACGACTCCCGGGGCGAAGGGTCCCACCAGCCACATGATGGGCGTGTTCTGGGCCACGTACTCAACTGTGTGGTCAAGGGCCTCTCGGGCCTTGGCCACCTGCTCTCGGCTCCGCATCAGGATCGTGCTGGACAGGTCCTGGAAGGAATGGATGCCAGAAAAGGTGGCTTGGAGGTCCTCCACCTGGTGGCGAGCCTGCTGCACCTGGTCCTTCACGTGGCTGGGCAGCCCCTGGATGCTGGAGCCCAGCGAGGCGCAGGTGCTCTGCAGCTGCTGGACGATGTCCCGGAACATGGTGAGCGTCTGGGTCTCCACCTGCTGAGAAGGGGCGGACGATCAGGACCGTGCGCTTTGGGGGCAGCTGGATCCCAAGGGGGGGGGGGGGGCAGAAAACGGGGCTTCTCCCGCCAACCTTCCGGAAAATCTCTCTCTAGGAGAGCCCATCCAGGACGGTGGTTTGGGACACCAGCTCTTTTGAGTTTTGAACCACGTGACCGATGTACCAAAATGAAAAAGAGGCAGAGACATTTCTCCAAAGGAGAAATGCAGCTGGCCAACAAGCACATGCAGAGATTCGACTTCACTAGTCGTCACGGAAACGCAGCGCAGCCCCACGAGGTGGCGCCCACTGGGCGAGCAGGATCAAGACGACGGGAGTGGCAAGTGTTGATACGTTGCTGATGGTACAGTCACTTCGGAAGACAGCCTGGTGGTCCCCCCAACTGTCCCAACTACGGAGTTACCATACGACCAGCAACTCCACTCCTAGGAATCCACCCAAGAGAAATGGAAACGCACGTCCATACAAGGCTGGTTCACAAGGCATAGCAAACGGGAGGCCAAGTGGAGACAGCCCGTATGTCCACCACCTTGTAAACGGGTAAATACACATGACCCACCAACACGCGGGTGCGTCCCTCGGCCACGAGCAGGAGCGAGGCGCCCACACGCGCTGCCCCGGGGACAGACGCCGAGCCCACGACACTCAGGGAGGGAACCAGACACAAAAGGCCACACGGGGTTGAGTCCACGTGGGTGACACGTCCAGAACAGGCTCATCCACGGACGGGAAGGGGGCTCGTGGGGACCGGGGGCTGGGGAGGATGAGGGAGTGACTGCTGATGGGGACAAGATCTCCTTTTGGGTTGGTGGGAATGTTCTAAACGGATCGTGGTGATGGTCTCACAACCCTGTGAATACACTAAAAACCATGGAATTGTACAGATGGGTGACTTGTATAGTACGTGAATTATAACTCAATAAAACATCTTTTTTTTAAAGTACAAGATACTGCATTTTCTATCTCGTTTTATTAAAAAAAAAAAAAAAAAAAGGTCTGGAGGAACTTTCCAGGCAGAAGCCATACGTGGTAGGAGAGACCGCAGCGTAATAAATCAGGACCTTAACCTCCTTCCCCAGGGGAAGAGGGCAGGCTGGGCGGCAGGACTTGGCCCTGAACCCATGACAGAGCGCTCTGGACTTGAACGTGGCAGGGAGGTGCCGACCAGAGTCAACATCGGCATCATCTGGTCACCGCGCTCAGCACTGGGGGGAAGGGAGACGGTTTTAGGTGGTTTGGGTCTGAATGCTAACAGTTTTGGATTTAGAGATACTGGTCCTATCTGCATAAATACCAATTGTGTACTGCTATGTGTACTTGACATAGCAACCCAATTTTTTTATACAGGAGTATAACACAGATCAGAAAATTCACCCGTTTAAGTGTGCAATTCCATAGTTTTTAGTGTATTCACAAGGTTGTGTGACCACTACCTTCATCTCCAGAACATTCCATCACTCCCCACAAAGAAACCTCACCCCCATTAAGCAGTCAACCCTGCATTAAGCAGTTGATCCGCTCATCCACCAAGGGACACCTGGCCCGTCTCCTCCACTTTTGGCGACCGTGAGTCCTGCTGCTGGGAACACGGCGTGCGGGTTTGGCTCACTTTGCCCGAAGAGCCCTGCAAGTCTTCATCCCATTGACAGATGGGGAAACCAAGGCCCAAGGAAGTTAAGCTGAGAAGCTATAGTGCTAGGTCAGTCCTGAGACCGAGGGACGTTCATAATGGGCATGAAAGACACGTGAGGTACTGACTCAAGGAAAGTCTCCGTGAGCGACGGTGGAAGCAGTGAGTCTGAGCATGGCAGGAGAGGCCGATGCATGGCTCAAATGGGAGGGACCAGAGAACGTTAGTGAGAAGCTGTCACCAGGAGCGAAGCAGAGGAGTATGGAGAGCTCATGACACCGAGATAGGGGAGAAGATAAGTGAGACATGGCTTAGAATTTTAGTAGGTTGAGAGACGTCGCTATCAAGTGTCCCACAGTTTAGAAGCAACACCCACACCCAAGAGAGAAAATCCAGGCGGGCTTCCTAGAGGAGGTGCTGTTGTGTCCTAAAGGCAGGGAATGGGAGGAGAGGCTGGGGAAAGTATTCCCGGTAGGTAGGTCCATCCAGCAGAGGCATGGAGAGGGAAGTCAGGGCCCTAAGCATCCCACGGGTCCCCCAACCTGGTACCTCTGGTTTGGCTGGCTTCTCCTCTGTGCCCTGGAGCTGCTTCTGGTTCCAGTTGAGCCACATCTGGTGTAGTTTCTCCTGGCCCTCCACCAGCTTCTGATCGACTCCTTGCTTGACGGTTTCCATCTGGAATAGGAGAGCAAGGAGAGAGAGAGTGACACAGGAGAGAGGCTGCCTCCAGCACCTGCCCAAGGTCGGCAGAGCCCCGCTCACATCCCAGGAGAGGCCCACAAAGCCCTCCTTTTATCCAAGATGAGATGGTCCGCGAAGGTGAGGAAGGTAGGAGGGATGCTGTTCTCAGACAGGCTTTCCACCACTATGGTTTCATCACCAACATGAGCATGCACCATCTGTCATGTGCAAAGGAAGTGGCCAAAATTCTCCGCAGCTCCTCCCATTTTGTCTGGTTCTCCTTGTGACTGGGCCCAGGCCACAGGACTGGCTTTGGCCAATGGAACGTAAGCAGGAGGAACGTGAGCAGGGTCGTAAAAAGTGCTCCAATGGAATGTTATTCAGCCTTAAAAAAGAAGGGACCCTGACACCTGCCATGATGTGGAGGGACCCCGAGGACACTGTGCTCAGTGAGAGGAGCCGGACACCGAAGGACACATCCTGCAGGACCCCACTCCCAGGAGGTCCCCAGAAGGAATCCCGTCTACAGAGACAGAGAGGAGAGGCTGGGAGCCAGGGCTGGGGCAGGGGGTGAGGAGTCTGTGCTTCATGGGGACAGAGTCTCCGAGTGGGGAGATGGGAAGTTCTGGAGACGGAGAGTGGGAGTCGTTGCACGACAGTGTGAATGTGCTTAACTGAGCTGTGCACTGAAAATGATTATGATGGTGAATTTCATGTCATATGTAGTTTACCCCAATCAAAAATTTAAAAAGAGAGACAGGGCGCCCGGGTGGCTCAGGTGTTAAGCGTCTGCCTTCGGCTCAGGTCATGATCCTGGGGTCCTGGGATCGAGCCCCGCATTGGGCTCCCTGCTCCGCGGGAAGCCTGCTTCTCCCTCTCCCACTCCCCCTGCTTGCGTTCCCTCTCTCGCTGTCTCTCTGTCTCTCTGTCAAATAAATAAATAAAATCTTTAAAAAAAATAAAAAGACAGACAGGAGAGAGCACTGCGTGGAGAAAGCTAAGCAAAGAGGAAGATGAAAGGAATTCAGCTCTTTAGAGAAGAGACAAGAGAACTTTGGTGGGGAGGGGCAGGATGTGACTGCAGACAGGCAGGCGGACCTTTCTGGGGTGACGGCATTGTTCCACTTCTTGATTGGGGTGCTGGTTACATGTCTGTAAAACTCCTCAAACCATATACTTAAAAACAGCTGATTTTTGTAGTCCCCGAATTACACCTCCATAAAGCTGACTTTAAACAAAACCACCACCAAAACGTTGCTCACGCTTTGCAGGTCATGCTCGAGCTGCACGTCGGTCCCTCAGACGACGGCCGGGAGAGCCTCCGCTGGCCAGCTCACCTGTCGTGGGCTGAATTATGTCCCCCAGATTCCTCTGCTGGAGCCCTGACCCCCAGGACCTCAGGATCTGCCTGTGGTGGCATATCCGGTCTTTAAAGATGCAATGAAGTTACAGTGAGGTCACTGTGATGGCCCTACTCCAATGTGACGCGCGCAGAGGGACGCCCCGTGAGGACGTGGGGAGAAGACAGCCTTCTGCACGTCCAGGAGAGAGGCCCCCCAGGAGGACCCGGCCCTGCGGACACCCTGATCGCAGACCTCCCGCCTGCAGACCTGGCAGACAGCCTCTGTCGTTGAAGCCCGCTGGTCGGGGGTCCTCGTAACGGTAGCCCAGCCTTCCGGGACCGGGGCCCCGCCGGCGGGCTCGGGCAGAGGTGCACGCGGGGGCGGGGCCCCTGGGCTGGGGAGGGGCGGGGCCCCTGGGCTGGGGAGGGCGGGGCCTCACCAGGCTGAGCGCCTGCGCAAGCTGCACCAGGGCCTCCTGCGCCCGCTGCCGCGTGAGCTGCAGTTTGCCCAGCGAGTGCGCGTAGGCCCGCTGGCGCAGCCGCTCCGAGAGGGAGCCCAGGCGCACGAAGTAACTCTGCTCCTGCCGCTGCTCCTGCACCGAAGCGATGTCGAAGCCCTCCAGGGACGTGGCGAGGCGGGCTGCGAGGAGGAAGGCGGGAGAAGCAGCGTGAAGGCCCGGATGCGGCGGTGCGCGCGTGCAGCTCGGGCTCGCGGCGCGCGCACTTGGGCGCGTGGCCGGCGCGGGTGGGCTTGTTCCCCATGCCCGGGGTCTTCCGTCCCGGGGCTGCCGCTCACGAGCCGGGAAGCCTTGGAGCGGAAGAGTCCCCTGCCTTGCTTTTCCCCATCTGCGAAATGGGTATGATGGGAACCGAACTCCCCAGGATTAAGAGGCCTTGGACTAGCGTGAGGGTCTGCAAACCAAGGCCCTCGGGCCACATCTGCCCGGCCTCCGGTTTTGTACCACGCCTGAACACAGCCCTGCACGTCGATTATCTATTCCTACGGCTGCTTTCAAACTACAGTGGTGGGGCGCCTGGGTGGAAGGGCCCAGTCTCCACTAAGCGCCAGGTACCTCCACGGCTAGCGTCCCCGACCCCATCACAGCGCTCAGCATATCCAGGGACTGAGGTCCCCCCGAAGAACCAGCCCATGGGGGGCCAGCACTAAGCGTGAGCTACAGCCAGCACGCCGAAGCCTCAGGACCAACGGAACAAAACAAAACACAAAGGAGCGTAAAATAACACGGTAACTATTTTTATAGTGATCACGTGTTAAAACGTTAACATTCTGGGGTGCCTGGGTGGCTCAGTCGTGAAGCGTCTGCCTTCGGCTCGGGTCATGGTCCCGGGGTCCTGGGATCAAGCCCCGCATCGGGCTCCCTGCTCAGCGGGAAGCCTGCTTCTCCCTCTCCCACTCCCCCTGCTTGTGTTCCCTCTCTTGCTGTCTCTCTGTCAAATAAATAAAATCTTAAAAAAAAAAAAAAAAATCAAACTACAGTGGTTTGTGGCCTCTTGGCCCCTGGACACTGAAATATTCACTATCTGCTCCTTTGCAGAAAAAAGCTGATCATTAGTACCCAGCACATATTATATGGCCAATCTTCCACAGGTTCTAGGTGGTTCGTGTGTATGTTCTCTTTAAACCCAACAACTCTATGAGGGAGGCACCGTTACCCCGTTTTTACAGATGAGGAAATAGGGACTCGCAGATGAAATGACTTGCCTGAGGTCACGCAGCTAGGCAGTGGCAAGTCAGGATTTCAAGCCAGGCCATCTGACACCATGTTCTTAACCATGATACTCCGCGTGGGGAGAAGTCTGAGCCACGTGAGAACCGTCTTAACAGCACATAAGGAAAAGTCAGGACTGTCTAGTCCAGAAAGAGCCCATGACATTACAATAGGGCAGGATGGAAACTGCCTGTCCTGATGATTTTATCCTAGTTTATCTGCTCCTTTTAAACTTTAATGTAGTAAGTATAAGCTTGAGCTTTGTAAATAACCTGATACGGATTGGACTCCAGACCTCCTAACTCACTGGCTTTGTCATGCTCTATAGCAGGGGTCCGCAAACTGCAGCCCCCAGGCCAAATGCCACCTGTCTCTATAAATAAAGTTTTATTGGCACACAGTCACACCCATTCATTTACCTATCGTCTATGCTTCTGTGTTAACAGCAGACTTAACTAGTTGCAACAGAGACTGCCTGACCCAAAAAGCCAAAAATATTTACCATCTGGTTAAGAAAATGTCTGCCATTCCCTACTCTACACGAAAGTGATTTTGCCAGTAAGCCTCAGTTCCCCCTTCTGTATGACCATCCTAGTCAGAGCTGCCTGAATTGTGAAATTTGGACTATCTCGTACTCAGAGAAGCACCCAAATGAACATTTAGTCATTTTTTGTCATCAATTTATAGTAGATGGTACGGTGTCCTGTTTTCAGTAAGTGATAAAGTTACCTTTCTAAAAGAATCTGGAAAAGCTGATTTAAAAAAGTGTATCAAAGAAATACTAGAAGGAACAGGAACATGGGACCAGGGTAACACGGACTATGTCGTGTGAATCCATGCACGAACACCTATAACATAAAACCCCACTACTGACAGTGGAGGAGGCTGGCGAACCAGCCCATGATGCCAAAATACATAAGGGAGAGAGCTAGCCACCTGCCCTGCTTTTCCTCCACCAACTGTACCTGAGCTCATCAACGCTGCCACAGAGAACCTTCTCCAAGACAGTTTTCCAGCTAACGGAGAAAGAAGGGATACTTAGAAGAGCGATCCCAATCCCAGGCGAAGGAGGAGGCAGAGAATGAGGAGGAGGTGCTCAGCCACCAGGGAACCACACGATTCCCTCTGCATGAAGTTCCAGGAGAAGCAGGGTGTCTCACCCAGGAAGGGACGCGGGACGGTGTCTGGGGACATCTGTGCTGGTCGCACTGGGGGTGCTCCTGGCATCGAGGGGGTGGGGCCAGGGATGCTGCTCTGCCCCCCACAGAGGATGACCCGGCTCAGAATGCCCACGGTGCTGCCATCGGGAACCCCTGATCTCATCTGTCCTCAGCTTTTTCCAGTTGTCCCAAATGTCTGGCTCCTCGTCCAAACAAACCAACTCTGGCCAAAGTCGGATGGAGCACGGTGTCTAGTTTACACGCAGCTTCATGGGTCCTTGCTGCCGTGGGCACCAGAGTCTGCACTGCGGCGTGGCGGAAGTCACGAGAGCCACGGGTACGAGGACATGACTGGACCACGAACAGGACACTGCTTTGTCTCAACAGCCCCATCCCTGGTTTGTCTGTTTGTCTATTCCTGCCTCCAAGAGGACCAGCCCCCTTAACACCAGCGGGGACCAGCACAGTCCCCTCCACCCTGGTCCCCAGTCCGCCCTCCCCTCAGCGACCACCAGAGGGCGCCCGTGAGCACTCGAGTCAGGTCCTGCCTTCCTCTGCCCACAGCCCTCCAGGACTCCCACCTCTCTGGGGTAAGTCCAAGTCCTCCCCTGGGTCCCCTAGGCCCTGCACGACCTGCCCTGGCCCCCTCCCCATCTCCCCCTCGCTCTCACCCTGCCTTGCTATTCCTCTAACCCACCAGGCAGGTCCTACCCCAGGACCTTTGTTATCAACACTTCTCTCTGTCCTGACATCCACGTAGCTAGCTCACTTGCTCGCTCCATTCATGGTCATGTCACCTCCTCAGAAACATCTTCCCAATCCTTCCACCTCAAAATCTCTCCTTTAACCTGATTTCCTTATACTTTATACTGTGAATTCCACAAGGGCAGAATTCTGTCCACTGCTGTGTCCCCAGGACTTGGCCACATGGCAGATGCTCAAGGAACATCCAAATGGACAAACGCGTGCCTGGGGGTGGGGATGGCAGAGAAGAGTCTGAACGCCTGCTGAGCGCCAGGACCCGTTCTGGACGTGGGACACAGCAATGACCAAGGTAGAAGAGGCTGCTTCGTGGAACTGATGATGAGTGCCAGAGACAAAAAAGAGCCCAGCCAGGAGGGGGTGGGGGCAGGTTTCAGAACACAGTATGGACAAGGGAGGTGGCAATTTTAGAGGCTTCACTGGGGAGGTGGCATTTGAGCAGAGCTGGAGGTAGAAGGGTGTCTAGGGCACATCCAGAGGATGTCTAGGGGAAGAATGTTCCCAGTAAAGGGAGCAGCTGGTGCAAAGGCCCTGGGGTGGGAGCATGGTCAAGATCAGCAAGGAGTCAGTGTGGCTGGAGTAGAATGAATGAGGGTAAGTGGATAAGTACATGGGGGGGGGAGGGTTTACGGGGAGGACTTGGGTTTCTACCCTGAGGGAGGTGGGAGCCCCCAAGGCTGTGGGCAGAGGAAGGAACCTGACTCGGGTACTCATGGGAGCCCTCTAGTGGTGGCTTCAAGGAGCCAGACTTTGGGGGCCAGGGTGGAGGCCACTGCACTGGTCCAGGTGGGCGTTGACAGGGGCTGATCTGAGGGGAGGTGGCAGGGTTGAGATGGCACTGAGGGGCAGACTTAGGTGGCTGAGAGGGGTGGGAGGTCTGGCGGGAGTTGGGGGGGGGGTCCCAGGCCCGAGGGCTGCACTCACCCAGCTCAGCATCCGTCATGGGCAGGTGATTGTCTACCCACTCCTCCGACTTGCCCAGCACTGTGTCCACCCCGCTCAGCACCATCTGGCCCACACGGGAGCCCATGACCGACTGGACGCCACTGGTCACCACAGACTTGGTCGCATCCACACCAGTCTGCATGGCACCCCGAGTCACATCAACCGCCTCCGTCACTCGTGTGGCCACTGTGTCCTTGGCGCTGGACACAGCTTCTCGGGCCCCCGACACCTTGGACGAAACGAGCTCCTTGGTGTCGGCCAGAACCTACAACACAAGCCGGCATCAGCATCTTTGTCCTCCCTTTGTACCTGGGGACCCCTACCCCTGCACCCCAGCCTCCGGGAAGCCCAAAAGGAGGAGTTCCAGCTCCTGGATAACCCCGAAGGGTCAACGCAGAGTCTGGCAGTGAAGACCTCGAGCTCTGGAGTCTGGGGTGAATCCTGGATTGCTAGGTCCTAGCTGTGTGGCCTCAGGCAACTCACTCCTCTCTGTGCTTCCATTTCTTTATCCATAGTGTTAGGGGCTGCCGTGTGTTGAACCCTAATCCCCAGGACCTCAGAATGTGATTATTTAGAGATAAGGTCTTTACAGAAGAAATTAGGACACAGAGGGGAGCCCAGGTGATGACAGAGTCTGCAAGCGAAGCAGGGGCCTCCAGAGGAAGCAGCCCTACCAGCCTTCTGGGACTTCTGGCTTCCGGGACTGGGGGACAGGAAGTTCCTGGGTAAGTGGCCCAGCGGACAGATGTGATGAGTTAGACCAGTGCTTGGCTCAAGGGCTCCATCCGTGTGGCAGAAGAAACTAAGATACCCCTGAGAAGTGACCGCCCCATCACGCTCTGAGAATCATAATCCTGGCTGGAGAGGCCATCCGTGTGCGAAGTCCCTTAGGGCAGTGGTTCTCATCTAGGGTGATTCTGTCCCCAGGGGATGCTGGGCACTATCTGGGGACAGGTGTGGTTGTCACACCGGGGGGAGGGCCTGACGTCAAGGGGGCGGGGCCGGAGACTCTGCCCCGTCCCAACGTCAGTGGCTCTGAGAGGAGACCAGGACCAGAACTAAAGCGACGCGGAGGATGCATGCAGGTGTCTAAACATTCTGTCTCCACAAACTCCCAGTAGAACACAGTAACTACCTTCAACTCCCCACGACAAATGGGGGTATGTGCCCAAAACGTCACCGTGCCTGTGGACTTATTCCTAAAGCTTGTATTAAAACAGTAAAAACCGGGCGCCTGGGTGGCTCAGTCGGTTAAGCGGCTGCCTTCGGCTCAGGTCATGATCCCAGAGTTCTGGGATCGAGCCCCGCATCGGGCTCCTTGCTCAGCAGAAAGCGTGCTTCTCCCACTGCCTGCCTGCCACTCCCCCTGCTTATACTCTCTCTCTTTCTCTCTGTGTCAAATAAATAAAGTCTTAAAAAAAAAAACAAAACAGTAAAAACCAACACTCGGGACCAGCCAGGTGCTGTTCTGAGCCTTCAGGTAATGGACCCGCTTCCACCCTTTAAACACCTAAGAGAGGGGCGCCTGGGTGGCTCAGTCGTTAAGCGTCTGCCTTTGGCTCAGGTCATGATCCCTGGGTCCTGGGATCGAGCCCCGCATCGGGCTCCCTGCTCAGCAGGAAGCCTGCTTCTCCCTCTCCCACTCCCCCTGCTTGTGATCCCTCTCTCGCAGTGTCTCTGTCAAATAAATAAATAAAATCTTTTAAAATACATAAACACCTAAGAGGAAGGAGCGTACCCATTCCACGCACGAGAAAGTGAGGCCGGGAGGCTAAGCAGCCTGTCCGAGGGCTGTCCAGGTGCCAAGGGCAGAACCTGGATTTTTTTTTTTAAAGATTTTTTTTTGTTTTTATTTGAGAGAGAGAGAATGAGAGACAGAGAGCATGAGAGGGAGGAGGGTCAGAGGGAGAAGCAGATTCCCCGCCAAGCAGGGAGCCCGATGAGGGACTCGATCCCGGGACTCCAGGATCATGACCTGAGCCGAAGGCAGTCGCTTAACCAACTGAGCCACCCAGGCGCCCCAGAACCTGGATTTTAACCTGGTACTTTGACTCCACCACCTCTAACCTGGGTTAGCAGATAGTTACGGGACTGCTAACTTTCTCTGGAAAAAGGCCACGTAGTAAATATTTTAGTCTGGCAGACCGACCGTCTCCAAGTCAACCCCTTAACTCTACCCCTTGTAGAGTAAAACCGGCCCTAGAGGCCGGAAATGCGTGGGTGTGTCCACGTGCAAGGAAAACTATATTTAGCACAGCAGGTGCAGGGCTGGACCTGCGGACCCCTGGAATGGCTCTGGACTCCCGGAAGAGAAGCGGCCACAGCTCACACTGGGTGTCCTGCATCCGCACCTGAGGTTCTTGAGTCTAAGCCTCTGAGCAGCCCTCTATGCATAGAGCTCTCCGGAAAGTTCAAAACCACACCACCCCCATCCTCACCCTTCTCAGGTGGCACCCCCTCTGAACACCTAGACCTCTCGTGTCCATGGGAATTCATTTCTTCGGGACTGGCCCAGCTGACCACACCACGTCTCACAGAACCGGGGACCACTACCTCCTCCTGGGGCGAGCCCGGGGCGGGGGTGAGGTCACAGGAGTCCAGACAGCACTGCGCCTCTGAGCTGGGAGCAGCTCTGTTGGATGACCTTGTAGAGCGTCACCCCGAGCTCATCCCTTCTATAAACAGAAGGAACGTTGGCCTCGTGTGGTGGCAGCAGGACAGGAGAACGCAAGTGCCCGGCCCTAAGGAGGTGGCTCCGTGGGGAAGCTTCTCCAGCCTTCTGTGAATTGGACAGTTTCCACCTTTAACGCCCAGCCTGTTAATGGCCTTTGCTGGGGAGACACGCCTCCCCGGCTGCACTGAGCCCTGCATGAGCGGTGGGGGCCTGCCTCC